AGCGGCCGCAAGACACTCAAGGTCCTCCTGTCTGTCCTCAAGGACGTCCGTGCTAAGAGCACACTCACCCCCGACGGACGGAGGACATACAGGCTTAGACCCAGCAACAAAACTAGCAGCGAAGTCTAGCCGACAGGCAGCAGCAAAGTCAACCAGCTCAGCGACAAAGGCAGACGCAGCAGCAGACTCAAACGACGGGTCAGTGACAACAGTGGCTAGAAGACGTGTGACAGTAGGGTGCTCAGCACGAAACCGGTCAGACTCAGGGTCCGCAAGGACTGGCAGAGAAGACGCAGGAGGAGACAGCAGAGGAACACGTTGCGGAAGAGAGGAAGGACGACGAACTACGAGGTGGGTGCCGGGGACAGCCGACTGACGCGGACGAGGAACACGACGACCGGAACTACCAGAACGGACAGGCGAGACAGGACGCGACGCAGGCTCACGACGCTCAGTAAGACCCCCTGTCTGCTCAGTGTAAGGGGAAGGTGCAGGCAGCAGTGAGCCAGGCTGTAACGGAAGACCAGTAGACGAAGGGAGACTAAGAACCTGGCGAAGCACAGAGTCAGGCGGTGGCTGAGCCCCGAGCTCCTGAAGCGCGACCTTGACGGCGACCGTACCAGTCGTGCAGCTGCTGTGAGGTGAGAGGCACACGAGGACGAAGGCGTCTACTCCAAGGAGACCGCGCAACAGCAGACTCAGAACCCTCAGGCGTCGCACCCCCAGACTCAGTACCCCCAGGCTCCTCACGCTCGGGCTCAGCACCCCCGGACACAGCACCCCCAGGCTCAGGATCTCCAGGCTCCTCACGCGCAGGCTCAGCACCTCTTGGCTCCTCACGCTCGGGCTCAGCGCCCCCAGACTCCGCACCCCCAGGCTCAGCACCTCCAAGGTCCTCACGCGCAGGCTCCGCACCCCCAGGTTCAGCACCCCCAAGCTCCGCACCCCCACGCTCCGCACCCCCAGGTCCAGCACCCCCAAAGACAGCACCACCCCCAGCAGGACCGGAGTCACCAGTGACCTCAACAGGCGCAGGCAAGGGAGGGTCTACCTGAGAAACACCTAAAGGAGCAGGACCTGGCGCGGGGAGGGGGTCTACCTGGGGAGGACCTGGGGCGAGAAAGAGCGGCGGGGGGGGCGAGGGGCAGTGCGGTAGGGAAAGAGACGGTAAAAGGGGACGGACTCGTCAAAGGTGACGTCCTGAGACGGAAAGACGCGGCGCGAGGCGGGGTCGTAAAACTGCCAGCCAGGCGCGTCAGGGACAAAGCCAAGGAAGACGCAGGGAATGGCGCGAGCGGAGAGCTTGTCCGCGGTGGTATCGCGGACAAAGGCACGAGCACCCCAGACCCGGAAACGCGACGCATCGCCAACCTCCCCCGTCCACAGCAGTGTGGGCGAGGTCTCCGGCAAGGAGACACGGGGCCAGAGGTTGAGCTGATGCGCGACGTATCGGACCGCAAACGGCCATAGAAAATGGGGGGCAGCCGCATGGATCATGGAGGTACGAGCGACCTCCATGACTAAGCCAATGCGGCGCTCAGCAACCCCATTCTGCTGAGGAGAGGCCGGAAGCGTGAACGTCTGACGGATGTCGTGCTCCGCACAGAAAGCTGCCAAGAGGTCGGAGGAGAACTCACCACCTCTGTCTGAGTGCAGACGCAGGACAGGAAAGTCCGAGTGGAACCGCTCGCGGAGCTGGAGACGAACAGCGCGGATCCAGGGGATCAAAACTTCAGGGACCCTGTAAGGGAAAGACCGTGGTGTAACGCGTGTAGTCGCCGACGACCAGCAGGAAGTACCGCTCGTGGCCCTGTCTACGGACGCGGGCTGGGCCCCACACGTCCAGGTGGAGAGTCTGCAATGGAGCCTCTGTGGGAGGGAACGAGGAGGAGTGAGGAGCGGCGCGCTACCGCCCCTCAACGCAGGGAATGCAGGGCGGCGCAGGCGAGAGAGGGAGGGCAGGCAGAGACCTGGGAAGGCCAGAGACCAGGAAGCGAGAGTGCATGCTACGAAGGCGAGGCAGGGAGGGGTGACCAAGGCGGTGGTGCCACAGGAGAGTGTCGTGCGACAGGCGGCGACACTCACACTGGGTAGCTACCTGAGCAGACGCGTACAGCTGGGGAGACAAAGGGGTGGAGCGCGACGCAGTGGTGAGGGTGTACAGACTGGACCCAGGCGCACGTGTGAACGTGGCCAGGTGGCGGCCGGTCCGAGAGCACGTGCAGATTGCCACATATTGCCCTCCAGGAGTAAAGGTGTCAACCCAATGATTCTGAAGGACGGCGTTGCTCACCAATTTTGTAGAGAATGAGGGGAGGTGGAGACCAGACAGCTCACCAGACGGGACCACCGGACACGGAAGCACAGTGGAAGACCGTGCAAGCACTGGGCCCACAGAGGGGTCAGCCAGTGAGACAGGGTCAGGTGCAGGAAGGGGAGTGGATGTGGTGCTATCGCGAAAGAAACAGCGGGAAGCACCAGAGTCAAGTCTAAAGGTGTGCAGGGCCTGTGCGGACGCAGTACCAGGGGGAGCAGACTCACAAGCACCTAGAGCTGCAGGCGCTATACCTGGGGCTATACCGGGGTCAGGCGGCACACACAAGTAGCAGTCACCCTCAGCACTAACAGTCAATGCATACATGGCAGGAAGGATATCATCATAGTCAAGATCAAAGATAGGTACATCACGCCTAAGCAGGTCTGCCCAGTTGGGGAACTCAGTAGCATCACGAAACTTGACGCGTCAGGCGTCGCTAAGCCGAGCGAAGCAGCGGTACTCAGTGTGAAAGCCGGTGCACTGGCGGTCAGTGCGGGGACCTACGCGAATGATATAGGGGCAGCGACCAGGACCCCCAGACGCCCCACGCCCGGCATACCAGTCATGAAGCTGCTGGGAAGTGGGGGTCTGGCGCTGACGCTGCTGCGGCTGCTGCTGCTGCTGCTACTGCTGCTGCTGCTGTCCCTGGCCACCACCGGCCTCACCCAAGCCCCCACCACCGCCGCCACCACCACTCCCCCCTCCGCCACCACCGCCACCGCCACCGCCACCGCCACTGCTCCCGGCACCACCACCGCCCCCACCACTACCTCCACCCCCACAACCACCGCCACTACCTCCACCGCCCCCGCCGCCTCCACCACCGCCCCCTCCACCGCCACGTCCGCCACCCCTGCCACCCTTGCCTCCCCTGAAGCCGCTGTGCTTCCCACTCGGAGCGGAAGCAGCTGCGACCTTCTCAGCACCAAGGAGGTCGACAGCAGCAGCTGCGGAGGCGTAGGAGGGGGTAAGAGGGGAGGGGGAGCACCCCTCAAAGAGGGGAGTGCGGGGAGTGCCACGAGCAGCACCTACAGTTAGAATGTTCTTCTCGGCTACTAGGAGGTGCTTTTCGAGGTCGTCGACAGTGAGAGAATGGGGGTCAAGGGCAAGGAAGTGGTCCCTAACTGAGCGAAGAGTGTCAGGGAGGCGGGTGATGAGGAAGTAGAGAGTAAAGTACATCAGGGGGTGGTTCTCTGCGAGGAACTCGGCTGGAAGGGCGGCACGAAGGCGAGTGTCACTAGCGCGTAGGTGAGAGATGAGGTCCTCAGCGGTGGTAAACGAGGATAGGTCGGGGAACAGGTAGGGTAGCATAAGTCGACCGAGGGCTGCAGTGGCCGGGGAAGAGTAGCGGGCAACTACAGCGTCGTACAGTGCCTTGGCAGTCTTGTGCTGGCTAAAATGCGCACGCTCTATGATCGGCAGATGGTTGCGAATAGCGAGGCGCGCAGCAGCATCGCGGGTCTGCCACTTGGAGCGGTCTAGAGCAGGCTTGGTGTCAGCAGGAGCAACGGCAGTGCCAGACACGTAATCGAACAGGGAAACACCGTCCTTGGCAACAGTCAGAAGGAACAGTTGCAGGTTGTCGAGCCAGGTGGCGAACTCTACTGGACGACCGTCAGGATCGAACGCGAGCACGTTGAGAGTCACCATGCTTGCAGCACAGGTAAGACTAGCGCGCAGGCGGCAAAGCAAAGTGCAGGTCAGGTGAGGCTGCGTGCAAGGCTGCAGTGGTGGCGCACAAGCTGCAGGGGCGGCGCGTAAGTGGCTAGGGCGGCGCGCAGGGCAGCAGTGGGCCGCGTGCGGGCTCCTAAGGCGGCTCGCGGGGCAGCAATGGGCCGCACACGAGCTCCTACAGCGGCGCGCGGGGCAGCAGCGCGCCACGCGAGCTCCTAAGGCGGCTGCCGGGGCAGGAGCGGGCTGCGCGGGCGGCGGACGCGGCGCGCGGGGCCTAAGCGGGCTGCGCGTGGGCGGCTTAAGCGGCACGCGGGCCGGCAGCAGGCTGCGCGGGCGGCTGACGCGGCGCTCGGGGCCGAAAACGGGCTGCGCGGGCTGCTTAAGCGGCGCGCGCTAAAAAAAAAAGGATACGCGCACGTGCAGCCGAGGCGCCCGCGGGCAGCAGGCAAGGCAGGCAGGCAGGCAAGGCCGTAGGTGAGGTAACGCGGTAACAGGTGGGCCCTAATCTTAGGTCCTAAAGACCTACTGCTCTGATACCATCTCAAAACTTAGGCAGGAATGAGTTTGACTATCGAGGGATTTTGGTACAAGGGAGAAACCTAAGGGGTTGTACCCCACAGTATCTACCCCACTACAGCCTACCCAAAACTAAAACATATGTATATGTTTGACAACGGTAGCCCTCAGCTACTCCTCAGGAGGTGTGGTGCTGCTTGCATGTACAGAGGGCAGGGCAGAGGGCGGTGCTGCTGCCACATGTGCGTTCAGAGACGGCATCAACCATGGCACTGAGAGGTACATCAGCAGAGCCATCCTTTGCTGGATGGAAAAAGCAGGCAGGGCAGGGGAAGAGGTGCAAGGCCACACACGATGGAATGGGCGGGGCAGTGACGAGAGGCGAATAATAGCATTCAACAGTAAGTAAACAAGGAACCTAGGGAAGGCATAATTAAACAACAACTTAGAGTGCATCCGAGCAGGCGAGAGAGAAATTCAGAACAGGGCTTGCCTGGTTGTGGTGCCTCGAACAGTTGTCCATGAGGAATGGCTGCTGCCGTGGGAAGCAGACTGGCAGAGTCTGATGCCGCAGCAGAGGCAGCACCACTGGTAGTCGCGGAAGGCATAGTGATGTCAACAGGAGCAGCATTGGGTGCATGCGCTGCTGCAGCAGCACTGGCAGCAGCCTTTACCACATGTGCATGTGCAAGCTCAGGTGTTGCAGCTGGCCCAGCAGCAGCAGGGACGGTGAGAGCAGCTGCTTGTGCTCCACTGGTGGGAGTGCCCGGTTTGACCTGCCTCCAGTGGGTTAGCGAGATAATGGAATGGGTAAGGAAAGATATGTGGTTCAACTAACAAAGTCAGGTAGTTGCTCTTTGAATAAGAGAATATATAACATCATTCAGCAACACCGACAGCAGCTATGCGAATGCTTGACAGAATCTCCCCTTCACCTCCTACCTGTCATGCTCCAAGTTACTGTCCTCTACCACTCACACAGCAACATGAGCCACACGACACACGGCACAACACCCCAAACCAGCTGACAACGGGAAGAGGCAGCAGCGTGCTTATCGAAGCAATCAATGTTCGAGCATGACAACCTACGAAGCAAGTTATGGGCAAGGCGGATGCTCACATCGTCATCAGTTTCCTCCTCCTCGTTGCTCACATCGTCATCAGTTTCCCCCTCCTCGTTGCTCACATCGTCATCAGTTTCCTCCTCCTCGTTGCTCACATCGTCATCAGTTTCCTCCTCCTCGTTGCTCACATCGTCATCAGTTTCCCCCTCCTCGTTGCTCACATCGTCATCAGTTTCCTCCTCCTCGTTGCTCACATCGTCATCAGTTTCCTCCTCCTCGTTGCTCACATCGTCATCAGTTTCCTCCTCCTCCAACTCCCCCCTCACCGCCCGCTGCAGAAACCTCCCCAGCACCGCATAGTACGCCTCATCCGACGCCTCCCTCTCGGCCTCCTCATGATCCTCGCTGCCCTGGCTGCTCTGACTGCCCTCGTGCCCTTCAACCCTCTCCACCTCCACTTCCGCCATTACTGCTCTCATGGCTTCGCCCAGACGTCGCAGGCCGTACAGATGCCCCTGCAGGTGGAGAAAAAGAGAGGGTCAACACCGTACCTCCTTGTAGAGCATCAACAAGACAATGCAGATGCAGAGACAGGAGGTAGGGTGTGAAGGAGGAGGGGTAGGGATACGGAGGGAATGAGGTGAAAGGGAGAGGGGAAGGGGAGCAATGAGGAATGAGGACAAAATGTATCATGCACCTTGGTGCAGACGTAGGTGACCACTTCCGGGAACGTGACGTATATCTTGCTCCCCGCGTAGCAAATGAGGATCTTGGACACCCGAGGAAAGTTCAACAGCTGCATCATGTCCCACACCTGCCAAGGAACGTGCACACCAGGGACGGGGTCTTTGATGGAAAACGAAAAAGGGCAGGATACAAGGAGAAGCACCACTTTGGGGACAATGCCTTAATGCATATTGAGATTATTTCTTTAAGAAGCTAAGAGTCATAAGAGAAGGCGATAGCTCACCTGGGATGAGCAATATGGGCACTGCTCGTCACAAATGAAGGGGGTCTGGGACTCGTACATCCTAATGTCATGGGTATGAAAAGAAAAGAGCAGATGGGGTCATGTTAATTGATATGCTTACTCGTAGCGGTCACCAAAAAATTGGGCAAGAGTGAATCAGTTTGTCAAATTGGAATGCGAGGAGAAAAAAATTCATGTCAACACGACACGTGTGTACATGATGGCTGACCAATATCGCACAAGGAAACATAAACAAAGCGCAGCCCACATCCTGCTCCTATTCAAACTCTAGCATGAAGGAGTGGTTGCATAGCGAGCACGACCACACCATCAACCTTACTTGAAGCTTTGAAAGTCCATAACAAGTCCTCGAATGAGAAAAAATGGAACGGCGTCGTGCTCCTCGTGTTCATGCACCAAGCACGCGAACATCACGAAATGGACCTCTGGAACGCCGGAGCGAAAAATATCCATGATCTCAAACTTGCTGGGGTGGAAGTGAGGCGCGCTGCTGGGATGGCCTTCCACGCTCGCGAAAGGCTGCCAGCACGCGCACTGGAGGCTGCTGCCGCACCCACAGTTCATTGCCTTGTACTCCCTGCCTCGCAGCAGCGCGGGTCGCACGCCTGGACACACGTTCACGAGCTTCGCTAGGGTGAAAACTTCTTCGCTTCCCATGTCGTGAAGCATGCGCTCCAACCGTTCGCGCCTAGATATTGGATCTTCACGGTTGGCCGTGATAGCAGCGAGCGCGTCCTTAACGGCGTTGGCGCGAGCAGAATTCGCTCTAGCCTCGGAGTCAGAGCGTCGCGCGTCGCTCGGGGATGCGTCGAGAGCGAGTTGGTCGCGGCAGTGCCACCTCCAGAGATGCTCCTTCGCCATCCGCGCAAACCCCGTCGACACGCACGCGAGCCGCGCGATCGGCAGCCCCGAGGGCTGCGCGAGGCGGAGCACGGTGTAGACCACGACCGGGGGCAGCGACTCCATGGCGCGCCGCTATCTCCGCTGGAGGGCTGGAAGCGAAAGCAACCGTGGTGGATGGGGAGGTGAACGAGGTTTGCCGTGGAAAAAGTGTGGGTCTTGGAAAACGGCGGATGATGTGGACTCCATACTTGGAGCAAAAACCAGCAGGGACTAATGAAGCTCGATCGGATGGGACGAGGGGAACCATTGCAACGCCCGCTGCCGCGTCCGTATAACATCGAGGACCGCTCGAAACTTACGCGGCGGTTTAATCTTCGCGCCCTTCTAACGTGAGGGTGCCCTCGTATTTGCATGGCTCCATGACTAGTACGAGGACGTGGAGCGGCGCTGTAATACAGTTTCACGTGAATCCCAGCAGTCCACTTACCACCCGCTATCTCACGATGCAACTCGGTAAGGCCATCCTCTTTACGACTATTCCTCGCCACAAAACAGTGAACTACAGAAGTACTATTTAGACTCATCCTTCCTTCTACCTTTTCTTATAAGTCTATTCATTCAGTTCAGACTGGTAAGTTATTTCAAAACAAAAACATTTCTAGCGTTCTTTCATTTCATTAAAGCAGTCTGACTTAAGTGTGATCTGATCTCCGTCAGCAGTAATTGGTGTGTGTGCATCAGGCAAGCCGTTCTAACTGCAGCGCAGAGCATTTCGTAGACTGTCAAGCAAAAAACTGGTGCTCACATAGAACACCAGACTGAAACAGCCAGGTCGTTCAAGGCCGTTCAATCTTGGGGGGTGGTAGAACTACTGGTAAATACACGGAATATGGTCTGAACCAAACCACGTTACGTTTGCCACCCATCCATACATCTTCCGGAATTGTTTCCACATCCAAAACATACTCAGTTGTCTCAGGCAGCCTTCATCATATCCCCCCCCCCCTCCCCTCGTCCCATTGTCTTTCCCCACAATATTCCCCCTTCTCCACCCCACCTCCCCCTCCCCCTCATCCTCCCCCTCCTCACCCTCTCCCCTTTTCCTCCCCTCCCCTTTCCCTTCCTCCCCTCCCCCCCTCCCCCTCCCCCTCCCTCTCCCACCCCCCCTTTCATCCCCTTTCCCCTTCACCCTCCCCATTCCCCCCCCTCCTCCTCTTCCTCCACCTCCTCTTCCTCCCCCTCTCCCCCCTTTTCTCCTCTTCCCCTCCCCCCCCCCTCCCCCTCCCTTGCTGCGGCCACCATCATCATTGTTGCAGTGGTTGTTCTTACTTTCTGTCATCGTCACTCTCTTCTTCCCTTTCGAGTCCATACCAGTGCCCCTGCAAGGGTAACGCCAGCAAGAAGTCTACTGATCATTCACAAGACAGATCTCAACACAAGCACAAGAAGTTGGAAACGGGATGGGGGCGGGGGTGAGGGAGAGAGGAAGAAAGGGAGAAGGCAGAAAGAGCAAGAAACACATACCTTGGTGCAAACACAGTGGACAATGGTCGGCACGGTGCAGTTAATAGGCGGATTAAAATTGATGAAGGGAGTGAACGTCGTTGCGAACATAACTTGTATTTCACAACCGTTCCACACCTGCCAAACATACATTCAACCCATGAGAACAGCGTCAACCTCACTGGCACGGACGAAGGTAAAAACCTCCGTTTCAGAAAGAATACTTCTGCAGTGGCGAAAACATAAGAGATCAATGGCAAGAGGAGACACATACCTCGGAGGTGCAGAAAGGGCAAACCTCATCCTTCATGAAAGGATGCTCAGAAAATGCATCATAGAACCTGTCGCAGTGGGCAGCAACATGATTGGAGCAAACAGACCTCACTCACTGTTCGCCAGCCACTCCTGTGATGCCCATGGAGCAAAAAAACATCACACACTATGGCTAGATGTGACAAAATGGTAGATGAAAGAGAAATTCGTGCACACAGAAGAATTACAGGAGGGATCATCCAACAACGGCACACAAGCCATGGCAGTAAAGGCTACGGATTGGCAAAATAGGAGCGAAGGCTGAGGAGAACCAAAAAACAGGTGCACACTTTTGAACAGAGACAAGGGACATCAAACGTGGCACCACGGTCCACGGTCAGAAAGTATCTCACTCTGTCTCTTGAAAGTTCACAATGAACCCTTGAAGGAGACAGAAGAGCATGTCCAACTTCGTTGATCGCAAGTGGCGCTTGCACATATTCATGAGGACAAAGCTTCGAGGATCGCCCCCCCATGCAGACAGCAGCTTGAACGTCGGACCAAAGTTTTCGCAGTGCGGCCTGCTGAGCACGCGGCGATCATGCTTCTCCACCTCGCGCGACACCCACGGAGGCGGCTTGCGACACTCTTTGTACTTGGTGCCCGTCCAATATTCCCGGTTTTGCAGGTGCGAGCGAGTCACGCCGGGGCACACGTTGAAGAGCCTCCCAAGCGCAGCAGCGTCGCCGTTGCTCATCCGCGCCACCTGCCGCTGCAGCCTTTCGCGCCCAGCAGCTCGATCCCTAATTACGGACGCGCTAAGAGGAGGCTCGCCATCCGCGTCGCCTTGGGAGTCTTCGCGCGCGAAGGAGTCAGCGAGCGCGTCGCGGCAGTGCCAGCGCCACAGCAGGTCGCCCGCCATGCCGCGGTACCGCGTCGACACGCACGCCATCCGCGCGATGTGCGGCCCGGGTGGATGGGCGCGGCGTAGAACTGCGTACACGCACTCGGGAGGCAGGCGATCCATGGGCGCGGATGCGCGAGGCGGCCTCAAGTCCGGGCTGGTGAGTGCGACGGAGGTTCCAAGGGGAAATTGTCTGTAACGTGGAACAGTGGCGACAAAACGGAGGTGATGTGCTGGTTCGAGAACGGAAGAGTGCTGGTGCAGGAAATAGGAGCAAGGCAGGTCGGAGGCAACCTTCCTAGCCTGGTCGAATCGACTCGGTGACTAGCCGCTCCAAACGCCATTTGGAGATCTGACTCTCAGGATCGTAAGCACCTTAGTCGGCAATAGTCTACTTGCTATCGCCTATCGTGTTATCCACGATCTCCCGAATCCAATAATATGCGCAGCTCTGCTTGAAGTTGTCAATACACACTTCAGCAACTTTCAGAATCTGATTGGTATCAATGTTTTATTTCCAGAATGAGTACAAACAGGTTTATAGTCAAGCAAGACACAAAATGCGATTCGTAACTTCACTTGTTTCCCAAGTAACCGCGTGCGCCTCGTTTCACCCCTAGTCGCACACGCAACCGAACCGAATTCGGTGAACACTCCTCAAGACCGAATCCCGAACTTTCTCGAACGCGCCTTGGTCTCGAAGCACATTTTTCCCCTCGTCAATCTCATTCTCGATGCTTCTCCTTCTCTCTCCCTCCTTCTAGCACATTTCTTCTCGATTTCTCTCCCGCTTCTCACGCCGTAGCCTCTATTCCCCACCGTAGGCCGATTTCCACCGTTTCACACACGCGCTTCCATTTCGCCGTCATTCCGCCGTCGTAGGTGCTTTCGCCTTAGGTTCCGTGGTTGGGCGAACCAACCCTAACACTGACGCCTGACGGAGAACGTCAGGAAAAGTGACAGACATGCAGGGTGGTGTCTTTGTTGGCACGAGAGAGACAAGAGAGAGAAACGCCCGGCGTTTGGCCACTTCAAAGCTGAGCATGCGTGGACAGTTGGTGTTCCCATTTCCTTTTGGATGAGGGGGATGGATGGAGGGCGAAGAAATCTGCTGTTCCCAAGAGCATTCGATCTGAGGCATTGTTGATGCCGCAAAGGTAGGAAGGGTCAAGTGTCGACACGTGTTTCGAAACGTGGTTTGGTGGTGTCTAGCCGTATCCGAGAAAATGCCTAACACAGCACGAACGCAGGGTTGGATGAGACGCAATACGAGATTAGGACGCAGAAATTCGCTAAATTTGGCCCCGGCTGGATTCAAGGTACTGTAGTGCTGTTTCAAACGAAGTGGCGGCATTACATTGAATTCTGCAAATAGGCCCTAGGACAGGCCAAGCAAAGATTACTCCTCCGCTTCCCCCCACGGACATACACGCTAAAGGACGATGTAGGGAGAAGGAAAGACAGCTGTTCAAGGCAACAAGGGTTCTTATAATATTTCCATAACGATTTTACCTGGTGCATTGCGGCACTCTTGACCATTTAACCAGCTTTGAACAGAATTTATGCTGCGATTCAAAGTTAATCGCCCCTAGGATCACCTCGAGAAGGTTCGCACAGAGTATGTGGTAGTGTTAAGCCCTTGACCTCAGATCAAAGTGAATGTAAATTGACTAAGATGATTAAAACATGCAAATACAATCGTATAAATAGATTAGCCATGTACTCTAAGGGATACATTCCCTTATTGCAGCGTAACCAACCGTGCGACTCCACACGGTTACGGACTGTTCCGGTGTAATCCTCACCACTGCTGCTGCCTGATGCTGTCTGCCCTAGCGGTCCAGATCCTTCGTAACCGTACACTACTCTTCGAGTCATTCTGCCTTTCCATCTTCAGCCTTAGTATTGTGTGCTTCGCTTGCTGCTGTCAGGAGTGCACGGTTTCTTTTCTCAATTTACTATTCGTAACAGTTTTGACCAGCTCTTTGACACCTAAGAGTCCAATCTTGTTTGTGTTGTGCTCAAGCTACCAACCGTCAGCATACAGACATCCTCATGAGCTGGATCAAGGACCAACACACTTCCTACACAGCACGTGCTTCCGCATCCTGCGCGTCACGTGTCACCCTCATCGCACCGCTTCCCGTCGGCTTGTCGCCTCTACCGCTGTACGCGGCGGCATTTACCCCCAGCGACTCCGCAACCATGCTTAAAGCCAGGGTCTCATGTACGGGTTGGCCGTGTAATTGCAAAGCACTTGGGCGAAAAGTTGGCTCCTTGGTGAGTCTCGGTTTTGTCGAAATAGCAGGCTAAAACGAGAAACAGGAAAGAGAGGTGGGTGCCGGTGACAGCCGGCTGACGCGAACGAGGAACACGACGACCAGGACGACGAGAACGGACAGGCGAGACAGGACGCGACGCAGGCTCACGACGCTCAGTAAGACCCCCTGTCTTCTCAGTGTAA